ATGTACATGTATATTTGCACAAATGGTGTGACTCTCAATTGTATACAACCAGAGAAATGAAGAGTTGTGCTCCATTTGTGTACAACAAGTCAAAATGCATTCTGCTCTCATGTGTAACTAATTAGAACAAATGGAGAAAAAATAAAATCCCCTTTGAATTATATTGGGATTTGTATAATCATTATATCTTTTTTTAACTGTTACTGGAATTTCAACCCAAGATAGTATATCACTGAACCATATTTTAATTGTATTTCTTTTAAGACAGGATCTCACTGTTCCCCAGGCTGGCCTCTAACATTCAAAACTGCTTCCTCAGTTCCTGAGTATCTGGAATTAATGGTGGGAGCTGCCTCACAGGGCTAGGCTTTCTATCTTTCAATGCCATTTTCAGTTTCAATTGCTTTTATCTCTGCATTGCATTAGAAGAAACTTTTCAGATCTTCTTCAGATTTCAAAATATTTCAAAATTCTTTCACTTTCTTTTGTTTAACTCACTTTTTGAATTTTCACATAATCATAGCAATAACAGTTATTTTAGAAGTTAAACTTGCTTTACCAATGTGCTGGTATTTTATTCTTTAAATATTATTATTTTTCTTGTATGATTTTTTTCATATCTTTCAGCATTTGAAATGTAACTTCCTGTCTGTGTAATTTTACTGAGGGGAATTAAACTGTTTTGTCTAACAACTTCCATTTATGGAGAATTATTTCTATCTATGTCCTCTTGTTTTGCATTGTAGTTAATGTTAAGAAAGGCTTTTGTGTGTGTATCCTTCAGAGCTTGTTTGAGTGAGTTCTCTTGATCAACTTTGCTTTAAATTTTACCAGTTTCATTGAGTTGTCAAACATTTGCATTCACTTTTTTGTTATAATGCATTTTATTCTAGGATGATGCAAGTAGATATCTGTTAACTCTAACTCAGACCAGTGATTTGTATATCTCAGAATGAGAAAAGCAAAAGTAAAGTAACCAACATTTAGTGAGTAGATAGATAGCTTCCTTCCTTTTTTAATTGGGTGGATCTTTTTTTTAGATTATTCTGTCATAGACTTGAGGATATAGAAGAAGCCTGCATTGCAACTCTGACCTTCTTTGCCCAGAAGTTAAAACCTTATCTTCTGACTCAGGAGACCACAGTAGCCCAACAACTAGGGAACTGGGGCATAACAATATCTTGTGTACACAATTCCAGATGCTATCTTCCCCTCCAGTTTTACATTTCTTTGCTTTTTTCCCAAGAGAATACTTTTTATTTCATTGTAAATGAAGCTCTGCATTTGAAACAATTTAAAATATAGCTGCACATTTTCATGTGTTTTCTACTGTCATGTCTTTTTAAGCTATGTCCTAGGTCATCTCAACAGAAACAACTGCATAACTATGTGTGCTGCCTTCACACAGAGGATTTTCATGGTTGTGTGATGAATTATTGTTCTAGGATTGGAAATGGATCCAAGGAGGAAGGATTAAGGTTAGACTGAATGAATAGGAGTAAGAGAACAGAGATGAGACCCTGGGAGCTGAGATGAAATTTAAGTGAAGAATGAGATTAAAGGTAAGTGAAGAAGCAGGAGGAAGAAGAAAGGAGAGAGAAGCAGAGGTGGGATAGAGGACACTCAGATGGGAAGAGATGGGAGGACAGCAAGTCACACAGAACATCAGAGACACAAGGGATAATATCAAATGTTCAGTGCTTTCTAGTTATTTTACATTCAAGGACACTGAGGCCAGGGTAATTCAATGCAGGTGTCCCATTTAGGAGATCACCATGAAGCTCAGGTTGAATGTCCTTTTACTGCAAGAAATTTACTGTGAAAGAAAAAAAAAATACAGGCCCTATGTAGGGAAGTCAGAAGGGCAAGACAGAAACTTGAGGAAGTGTGGGAGGGAAAGGAGAAGCCCAGTACAGGCAGGAAGGGTGACAGGCCATGGGTTTCTCAGGAGGGAAGCTGAGGTTGGTGTTGGTGAGGTGGGAGCCATCAGAATGAAAAGTGAGATTGTGTGGGGAGGGGAGTTCATGTCCGGGTGTGAAGAATGCTGTGTGTTGATGGAGAAAATCAGGAGATGTGGTGGTGGGCAGGGGAGCAACAGTGAGAGATTTCAGGAAGAACATAAGCATGCTTGTTCCCTAAGCAACAATGATTCAAGAAGAGGCATCCTGAGTAGGGCTTGTGACAAACGGAAGAATCCTGGATGCCTCTAAGATAGCTGAGATGCCTTGCTGAGTTCATTTGGCATATATCTTACTCATGTTTTCCTGTGACCAGGGAGCACACCACTGTCAGTGATCTATATAACCAAGCCCTCTGTCAAAGGTGTTCTCTTATTTTCTGGTCCTGGTCACTTCCCACCTATTTTGTCTCTTGACTTTCTCCTACAGTGTTGCTCTCGCTCAGCTCCCCTAACTCTCAGCATCCCCCAGGCAGCTCCCAATGGTGTCCATCCTTTCCTCTCTCCTCCTCAGACCTTGTCATTCACCCTCCACAGCTGAGAGCTCACTCAGGATTGCAGTGGCCTGGGGAGCTGCAGATCCTCTGTGGGACTCTGACTGACCAAAGCTCCAGCAGCTACCTGCATCCTCACCAGGAGAAACTCTGCCAGAGGAAAGTTGAGGGGAAGAAACTTTGAATTCTTCTTCCCCTCCCTTTATGACTCCCTTGTTATGGTTTAGGTATGAGGTGTCCCCGAAATGCTCATGTGTGAGACAGTGCAAGAAGGTTTGGAGGTGAGGTGACTGGGTCATGACAGCCTTAACCCAATCAGTGCATAAATCACCAGACAGGGACTACCTGAGTGTAACTGTGGGCTGGTAGGTGTGGCTGGGGAGGTGGGTTTCTAGGGACATGCCTTTGAAGCATATATTTTGGCCTTGAAGAGTGGAGCTCTCTCTCTCTCTCTGTTTCTTGGTGGCCACATTCAGAGCTGCTTTCCTCTGCCACACGCTCCTGCCATGATGTCCTGCCTCACCTTGGGCCCTGAGGAGTGAAGGTGGCCATCTCTGGACTAAGAGCTCTGAAACTGTGAGACCCCAAATGAACATTTTCTCCTTGAAATTGTTCTTCTCAGGTTCTTTGGTCACAGAAACAAAAATGCTGACCAAAAGACTCCTCTTCCTCCTTCTCCTGCATCTGTTATATCCTTTATTTCTCTTATAGGCTCACAACATTTTAGTCCCAGAACCTCATTCCTTATTTAGTTATTTTCCTCCCTCTCTTTCCTATCCAAATCCAACTACCTTCTCCTTTTTTTCTCACTCCACGCTCAAGAGCAGCAGTCATATATTTTGTGTGATCCAGGGAAAAACAAAAATGTGGAGCCTTGTCCTGGTCATTCCAGCTATTATCACAGCATGCCATAGACTGTGCAGTTTATAACCACTAAAATATTATTTTTCTGGAGTCTGGACAGTTCAAGGTCATGGTATATTTGTTTTGTAGTGGGATCTGCATTTTGGTTCATCAAAGGCACCTTCAAAATATTTCTTCACCTGGTGGAAGGGTAATTTGGTCTCTCTGGGGTCCCTTGTCTAAGGCACTAATCTTATTTCTCAGGTTGAAATCATATGACTTAATCAATTCCCAAAGACCCATTTCCTAATACCATCACATGGGTGGTTAGGATTCCAATATGTGAATTTGGGGAAGACATAAAGATTCAGATCATAGCAGGTTTGGGTTTAAGAGGTTGTGGAGGGGGTGCTTTTAAAGGTACTAAAATGCAAAACTTATTAATTCCTATGAAAGGTTATGTGTCTGTTTTTATTTAGTTTTCTAATATTGCATCCATTTAGCACAGGGATACTGTCAGGATGATTCCAGGAACTCTTAGGCAACTGAGGGGTGATGCTCACTTCATAATGACATGCAAGCTACACTGGCTGCCTGGTTCCTGTTGCCCCAGCTGCTCAAATGATTCTTATTGTTGCTAGACTGAATGGGGAAGTTAATCTCTCTTTTCACAAATGATTACCCTGACACTTGGCACTGAGAAATTAGAGTCAAATTACATGGAGATGCATGTGATATTTGGAACAAGATTGAGCAACAGGCTCACCCTTACCAGTTACAAAAAAAAAACTTGGTTCAGACTCTGGATGGGAAAGCTGCACCTATTTTCTGCCCTCACACTGTTAGGTGCATATCCCATTCTCCCTTTGTGCCTCCAAGGCAGGAGGTAGTGGCAGAGGCTGATGGCAGAAGGGGCCTGTCCTGCAACGAGATCTGACCATGCAGTGGAGGCAGGATGGAGGTGGATAGGTTGAGTCTAGAGTTGCCAAGGCCCCAGATAGTGGGGAGTAGGTGGAAGAGTGCTGCACATCCAGGTGAAATTGTGGTAGGCAGAACCCCACATAAGCCAAAGAGCATCCTATGAGCTCCTATACAAATTTCATTGCACTTCTCTTATGAAACACAAACTCAATAAAATTATTATAAAATTCAAGGTGGTGATCACAGAGAATTAAATGTGTTACTGCACTGGCTGCATGTCCCTTGGAGCCAGCCTTGATACATGATCATAAACTCATTAGTTGATACTATTATAGAGGACAATCATAGGTGCTCTGAAAAAGTAAATAAAGTACCCAGTGATGTCATAGATATGGAGGTGTTGGAATGGGAGATAAGGTAGTAACGAGAACACATGAGGGAATAATTAAAACTTATTGAAATAACAGAAAATGCTTAAGATCCTGGTTTCATTACTCAGCACTGAATTAAGTGTCCCTAGTGGTCTGGTGAATTTTCAGTGCCATGTAAGACTGTTTCATAGCAGTTGAAATAGGGGAAGATGAACACGATGGATGTTTGTAACAATGAGAGAAGTAGAAAGACTGGGCAGAGAGTCAGAATAGCTGGGGAAATAGGGAACTGAGTAGATGATCAAGGTTTTGGGAGGGTGCACACTTTCTTTTTTGCAGGCAGGAGGGGTTTCTGTCTTTTGATTGAATAAGGAAGTCAGAAGAGAGGTCTGTGGGGGTAGGTTTATTTAGAACAGAAATCAAAGGACAACTTCTCTGAGAGAAAGAAACAGCATCTGCAAGTGCCATGCTGTTTCTGCTACTTCCCTTGCTCACTGCTCTCTTCCCAGGAGGTGACAGTGAAGGTGGTAAGAACTGGGGCATCTGAACAGATGTGTGTGTGTGTGTGGTGGTGGGGGGATGGTAGTTTCCCCTGCACATACCTGGAGAGAATTAGTGGCAAGCTGGACCCATTCTGCGTATTCATACTCAAGCCCTCTGTGCTGTCATGGAGGATGTTGATAGAGCATGGGACTCTGGGGGCCAGCAGATGTCAGCTAAGGTAATGGTGGCTCTCCACTTTTCCAGATTCTGAGTCTTCCCACTGGCAACTTTCTTCCCAAAGTCTCTTCCTCGCAGTGTTTGATTTCTACCCATTCTATCTATTCTTTTGCCTCAGGGTTTGAGGAGCCTGTCTCCTACCATCTTATCCAGATATCATCCTTTTACAACCATTCCTGGAAACATCTGGGCTCAGGCTGGTTGGGGAAGCTGGAGACACACAGATGGAACAGCAGCTCGGGTACCATCATTTTCCTGTATCCCTGGTCCAGGGGCAACTTCAGTAATAATGAGTTGATGGATCTGGAAAAGTTTTTCCACACATACTTCATTAACCATCAGGGATTTTACATTTCTCAATTAATGTTTAAAGGTGAGTTTAGTTCCCTTGCTGAGGAGAAGAAAGGGATGAGGGGAGGGGCATCTCAGTGAACTTTTGATTACTCAGGGAACAGCCTTCTCTGCTCTGATTCTAATTCAACTCTCTTCAGCATAAGACTGCAGTCACACCCTGGCCAAGGGCTATAAGCCGGAACCTGATTCTTCAAAAACCTTCAGTTTTTCCCCTATTGAACTGCTTTCTCATTGACTGCAGGGCTGTGTTTTATTATCTCTTCTCAGGGCATCTAGTGGCCACCTTTTTCCCCAGTCTTCAACCAGGTACCCTCAGCTTCCTCATTCCTTGGTTGACTCCTTGAAGTATTATTTTCTCTTCCATTTAATCTCTTCTGTCAACCCTGTCTAAACCGTTAAAGTAACCATGGATACTTTCCCCCTAGTTTGTTACAGTCTCTGCTCTCTCGCATTAAGTCCTTCACCCCCACACCATCACTATCACCTTTGAACAATTCCCTCCCTTCTTCATATTATCATCTCTTCCTCTACCTCCAGCTCTGACCAGTTCTTATTAATGTGAATCTCTGATCAAAGCACACTGGGGTCCCTTCCCTTAAACTCCCTAAACTCTCTTCTGCATCCATTGTCTTTGGCTTCTGCTCACTCCAGTTTTCTTATTTTTCTCCTCTAATTCATTACTCCTCTTCCCCAGATTCCTTTGATCTACAGGTTACACTAGGCTGTGAACTGCATTCTGGGAAGGCATTTGTAGGCTTCCTGCAGATAGCAATCCAAGGATTTGAGTTCATGAGCTTTCAGAATGAAACATTCTTACCATCCCCAAAGGGTGGGGAAAAAGCCCAGAAAGCCTGCCTACTACTCAATCTCAGCCCAGCCTTCAAACATAAGATACATAGGCTCATCAGTGACATCTGCCCACGTTTCACCTTGGGTCTCCTTGATGCAGGGAAGACTTATCTCCAGCGACAAGGTCAGTCTTGTAGCCCATTTCAAAGAATTTTTCTATGTTAAAGTCAAATTCAGGATAAAAAGAGAAAAGGATAATGAGTGACATTTCCAGAAGTGGGAATGATGTGTCTTGGTAGTCTTACATGGAGTTCTCAACATCATAGTCTATGTTAGAGTCTGTGTCTGGATGAGTTTTCTGTTATTTGCAGTGAAGCCCGAGGCCTGGCTGTCCAGTGGCCCCAGTCCTGGGCCTGGCCATCTGCTGCTGGTGTGCCATGTGTCTGGATTCTACCCAAAGCCCGTGTGGGTGATGTGGATGCGAGGGGAACAGGAGCAGCAGGGCACTCAGAGAGGTGACATCCTGCCCAATGCTGATGGCACATGGTATCTCCGAGCAACCCTGGATGTGGCAGCTGGGGAGGCAGCTGGCCTGGCCTGCAGGGTGAAGCACAGCAGCCTAGGAGGGCAGGACCTCATCCTCCACTGGGGTGGTAAGAGATGGGGGCCCAGGATCCAGAAGGGAAGAGGGGATCTTATAGCAGAGCATGAGGACCAGCTAAAAAAAATGACATTTACAAATTCCAGACCCCAAAAGAAGACAAATATTTATTTCAAAGAATGGAAGAATTTTAAATGATGGATCTGTAGATATAAAAAGATGTAGGATAGAAGAAGGATTCATCTCTGAAAAGAGATGAGATAAAAAAAGGAAAAATGATTTGTAAGGTAGACACTCCAGAAAAATAGTACAGGTTAATACAGCAAACGGGGAGTGCGAGGGGTAAAATGGGGGAATGGATTGAAAACAACATCTTGGTGTCCACTTGAATCTGCAGCACCTCATAGATCCCTGGGCTTGATCCTCTTGGCAGTGATAGTGGCCCTGGCTCTTCTGACAGGTCTTGGATTTTGGCTTAGAAAACACTGGTGAGTTCTTTGCATTCTTCTTTCCTGTCCCTCATCTCCAATGGTCTTCTTTTCTGTTTTGTCTTTTTCCTCTCTTTTCCTTCTCCTCTCAGCCCCATTCCCATTTTCTGCTCAGTTCTCACCTCCAGCTTATGAAGGTCTGTTATTTCTCTGTTCTCATTTGGTTCATTTAGGACATACCATGAAGCTCCTGGCAGAGCTGTCCTTTTGAAGTGAGGACCCAGCTACCCAGGTGCCCAGTCTACACCTGAACGCCACATGCAGATGACATAATATCAACTCTCTTTGTAAACCTTTGTAATTCATTTTCATTCCATGATCAGTTACCAATATATGCTCAATGTAATCTTGCAGGATTGGTTGTTCTAACCTGGTTTGTGGTGTATTAACTCTGAATGGAATAGGGTGTTAGCAATGTCTTCCTGGTAGGTATATTTGATCATCTGATGCATTTCAGATATCACACCCTCCAGAGGTCTTTCTTTAATTCATGGTGCGAAGTGTCTGTCCTCTGTTTCCTCACATTTAACTCTAACCCCCATATCCTAGCTTCTGTGGCAGGTGTGTAGGTTCATTTCTTCTTTTAAGTTTTTGGAAGTTTGAGAGCAAAGAACATGCTTTTTAAGTGTGTGTATCCCTGGTGAATTGTCTTGCCTGCATGTAACATGTTCTCAATAAAAAAAAATTGTTGAATTTAGGTAGGTTTGTATTTTTTTTTAATTCTCTGCCATCCTGACACCTGTGTTGTAGTTGACACATATTTGATGCTTGACTTAAAAGTCTTGGTTGGCCCAGAGACTTAATGCTTTCTTAGTTCTATAGTTTTTTCTAAGTCTCTGAGAAGAAATGCAGTTTTGCTTCTTACCAATTCTGTTACTCAATTTTAGGAAAATATTAGCGTGTAGATTTTGTTCCAAGTTCTCAAAACTAAAAGAGCAAAGAAGGATGAAGGTCCTCCATATTCAATGTGGTTTATGGTCCAAGCAGCAGATTCATTACATTGGAGTTTGGTAGAAATGTAGAGTCTGTGGCCTGGTCTCAGACTTACTGAATTATAACTTTCATTTTTACAAAATCATGAGAAGATTCACAGGTGCATTTTTAGGTTGAAAGGCACCTCAGTATGGTGATACCTGAAAAATGGAATCAGTGCATCACTAAAAAGGGAATCAAAAAAGAGGAATCAAAGTGATGCCCTTGGGGATTGAAGTAGGTCCAGGTGAGTAAGGTGCATTCTCAGCAGTTATGTTCTCTACAGTTTCTGCTGCAAACACTGCCATAGTGAACACTGAGCCATGCTCCCAGGGTAAATAGAGGGGTAGGTTCCTTTGAGTGTCTGTTCACAATATTTTTGTTACCTGATGAATACATAACCTTGTTTAGTGTATTTTGTTTAAAAATCTTATTTAATATATTCTTACAAGTAATTCATTGTATGCAGTATATCTTTTTTTATTTATATATGACAGCAAAATGTACTACAATTATTATTACATATATAAAGCACATTTTTTCATATCTCTGGTTTTATACATAGTATATTCACACCAAATTGTGTCTTTAAACCTGTACATTGTTTAATAATGATCATCACATTCAACCATCATTAATTACCCCATGCCTCCTCCCTACCCCTCCCACCACTCGGCCCTATCTAGAGTTCATCTATTTCTCCCATGTTCCCTCTCCTTATCCCACTATGAATCAGCCTCCTTATATCAAGGAAAACATTTGGCATTTGGTTTCTTGGGGGATTGGCTAACTTCACTTAGCATTATCTTCTCTACCTCCATCCATTTTCATGCAAATGCCATGATTTTACTCTGTTTTATTACTGAGTAATATTCCATTGTGTATATATGCCACATTTTTTATCCATTCATCTATTGAAGGGCATCTAGGTTGGTTCCACAGTTTAGCTATTGTGAATTGTGCTGCTCTAAGCATTGATGTGGCTATGTTCCCATAGTATGCTATTTTTCAAGTCCTTTGTGTATAGACTGAGGAGAAGGATAGCTGGGTCAATTGGTGGTTCCATTTCCAATTTTCCAAGAAATCTCCATACTGCTTCTCATACTGACTGCACCAATTTGCAGTCCTACCAGAAATGTATGAGTGTACCTTTACCCTGCATCCTTGCCAACACTTATTGTTGTTTGTATGCATAATAGATGCCATTCTGACTGGAGTAAGATGAAATCTTAGGGTGGTTTTGATTTGCATTTATCTTTTTGCTAGTGATGATGAACATTTTTTCATATGTTTGTTGATTGATTGTATATTCTCTTCTGAGAAGTTTTTCTTCAAGTCCTTGGCCCATTTATTGATTGGGTTTTTATTAATTTATTTTTTATTTTTTGGTGTTTAGCTTTTTTGAGTTCTTATATACTCTAGAGATTAGTGCTCTATCTGATGTGTGAGAGGTAAAGATTTGTTCCCAAGATGTAGGCTCTATATTTACCTCACAAATTGTTTCTTTTGCTGAGAAAAAAACATTTTAGTTTGAGTCCATCCCATTTAGGAATAATCTACATTGCTCTTGGATAGGCAGAATTAATATTATCAAAATAACCATACTTCCAAAATCACAATACAGTTTTAAGGCAATTCCAATCAAAATTCTAATGGAATTCCTCATTGAAATAGAAAAATCAGTCATGAAATTCATCTGGAAAAATAAGAGACTCAGAATAGCTAAAGCAATCCTGAGAAGGAAGAGTGAAGCAGGTGGCATCACTATACCAAAAAGTAACAAAAACAGCATGGTATTGGCACCAAAACAGACTAGTAGACCAATGGTACAGAATAGAGGACACAGAGACTAACCCTCAAAACTACAATTATCTTATATTGGACAAAGGTGCCAAGAACGTGCATTGGAAAAAAGATAGCCTCTTCAATAAATGGTGCTAAGAAAACTGGAAATCCATATGCAACAAAATGAAATTAAACCCCAACTCTCATCATGCATAAAACTCAACTCAAAATAGATCAAGGAATTAAGAATACAACCAGATACCCTGTGTCTAATAGAAGAAAAATTAGGCCCTAATTTCCATCATGTGGCAATGGCCCCAACTTCCTTAATAAGATTCCTATGGCATAAGAATTAAAATTAAGAATTTATGCAGTATATCTTTAAACAAAAACATTATTTGAGAAGTGTTTAACAATTTTTTGAACCTGTTTAATGTGACTTAAATTTCCTAGGCTCCCAACCTTTCTACAATGCTATCTACCACATGAAAAAAAAAGAGAGAAAATTTGTTGTCATCTCAGGAAGCCACACATATGGTTGTTTGTCATAGCTTTATCATAGTTGTTACTTTATAACATAACTTCATCTACCAATGACCAAATTTTATCTTTCTTTTTCCAGCGTATTGCATTGTTCATTAACATTGAACTATCAGGCAATAGCATTATAATAAAGCTGATCTAAAAAACATCTTCTGTTATACACATCACAGCCTTCTTCAGTTTATGAACATTTGATAGCATGTTAGAGATGTGTTTGGGGTCATTTTAATTGACAAAATCAGTAACAAAGAGCACAAAGTATGAAAATCATGGTACTCACCAGCCCACACAAAGGATGCTCATCTTGTAGTGAGAAGTGAAACCTCAAGACAGAGCTTCAATTTTTTTTTAACTTTCATAGGAAATGCGTTCTTCATTTAACTCACATTATGCACCACTCTCTACATATCTATGAATGTCTGCAAAAGCACTGAGAGTACTTAATTTGAGGTGATAAAAGTTTCCATAGGTAGACAAATTAGAAATTCAGAAGTCCTAACTAATGGGGATTGACTAATGACCCCAACTGATAATGAGAGTTAAGACATGCATGACCAGACTTTAGTTACTTTAAAATCCATAAACTGATGTAACAAAACAGTTCTTAGGCACCTACTATACACTTACTATGCATCAGGTACATATTGAGTATAAAGTATTGGGAGGAAAAAAGATCATCACTGTGTTCTGAGCTTGAAATTTTTGTCTACCCAATTTGATTCTGCAGTTTATTATTTTCATTGTTTTTTTTTTTTTTTTGTCCTTAGCTTCCTGGAAGGACTTGCTTGAAATGAATTCTAGGAAAGTGACTTAGCCTTAATTTGCTTAGACATTTGAGAAGAGGCAACCCAGGAAAACAGGAACATCTAGAGAGACCAGGTGCAGGTGACAGCATGTGTAAGAAATTTTTCTATGCTCATATACTCTTTCATTAAGAGAGGAAGTCCATGGAACAGGGTAGAGGAGTGTGTGGCTGTGGAGTTGCTAATCAAGACCTCTGGAGACCAAGCAGGAAGCAGGTCTTATTTTATTGTGCAGTTACCATGTGTATGTACTTAGTCAGTAGCTAAGCAGATTACAGTTTGCCACCAATGCAATTTCTGCTACTGTCCTAGCAGCAATCAATTGAGGAGTGGGCCATGGAGCAAGCACAGAGACTGCAACACGCAGCCTCATGCCCAGGGCTGTGACCAGAGAGTAAGTGGTTTGCCGCTCACATGCCTAGCTTGGAAGAGTTGCCTGCCACTCAGACGCCCTTAAGATATGTGATGTATGCAGTACTCCATGCACTTGTCCCCACACCCAAAGATTTCATTCTGAAAAATTCATTCCTGCATTCATTTGTCCTTCCTTCTTTCAACACATAATAGTTTTTACTCTCTGAATGGCAAATATATTAACTGACAATAGTTCCAAAACAAAAGTTGGCTTCTTTAGATTACAAATGCAGTGTGCAGATGTTATTTAAAGCTGATCATAACTTTTTTTTAAAGAGAGAGGGAAGTGGGGGGGGGGGGGTGGGGGGGGAGAGAGAGAGAGAGAGAGAGAGAGAGAGAGAGAGAGAATTTTTTAATATTTATTTTTTAGTTATCGGCGGACACAACATCTTTGTTTGTATGTGGTGCTGAGGATCGAACCCGGGCTGCACGCATGCCAGGCAAGCGCGCTACAGCTTGAGCCACATCCCCAGCCCCAAAGCTGATCATAACTTCAGGAAAATATACAGGAAGTAGCCCAGATGCAGATAAAACCCTCAATTTACAGCAAAGTTTCATCTACAAAGCTCCCTACATGAATATATTTTACTTAAAAGTGCCAAATGGGTTTGCCTGTTCATCTCAAAGTAGAAGGTAAAGAAAAATATTTCCAACAGACAAACAGCTGTCACTGCAGTGAGCATTCTACATCAGGCACCAGCATCTCAATTTGGAACAGAGAGAAACAGCAAATTTTCTTTTTGAAATCCTGCTGACACTTGTAAAATGTTTATATTCCACCACTAGGTGGCGTAGAGAGCTAAACAGTTAACCAAGGCTGTAAGGCTGTAGATAATTGAGGCTTTCTTAGGAATAAACAAAAAGATTGATTTTTGAATTTTGTGTACATGTGTGACAACATAACATGACAGTAGCATACACCTCTGTGCCATTTTCTTGAAGCAATTGTGACAGAGGCTCACTTCAGTTGCATGTCATATCCTCTGTGCCTTTGTCCCTAGACTTTTCCTGCAATGTGATTGGGACACCTGAGAGAAGCTACTTAGCATTTGTCAATGCTCAGAACTGCAAATGTCAAGCTGTAACACTCAGTGGACAATCCTTGACAATTAATGGATGGGAGGTCATGAATATGTACTTTTCTTATTTTTCAGGTAGATAATTCAGAGACAAAATCAGT